CAATTTTAAGGCTTTGGGCTGGAACCAATTAGGGTGATGTGATACCATCCAATCACTGCAAAGGGGAGAAGATCAAAGCTTAGAGTGGGTCTAAAAGTCATCATATCAGGTTAGTGTGGTATTCTAATTAGACATCCAAGTGAAGATGTCAAGTTCTAAGTAGTCAATGGCATATATGAATCTTTGGCTCAGAACAAAATATGGGGGCAGAGGATGTAAAGCTGGACGACTGACACATAAAATGGTAGCTCAGTGTTGTGGGTAAGAACTTGGGCTTTGCTGCCAGACTGCTTCAGCTTTGATTTGGCTCTGCTTCTTATTTGTTGAAGTTACTTAAACTCCCTGGGCCTTACTTTCCTCTTCTATAAATGAGGATAATGAGCAATGTCGGGCTCATAGTATATGTTCAAAACTAGCTTATTGTTAATATATTATTGTTTTTATTGTAATTATAGCATGGAAGCAAATGAGGTGACCCACAAAGAAAGGATAACAAGAGAAAAGATGAATCATATGATTAAAACCTCAGGCACTCCAAAAGTTAGAGGCTGGGTTGAGTAAAAGAAGACAAACAAAGACACTGAGAAGGCATAGCTAAGGTGGTCAGAGAAAAACCACATCACAGCCAAGGTAGGCTGCTGGGACATTAATTAAGACAAAGCCAGAAAACTATTCATACAGAACCCAAACTGCAGTGGAATGATGAGTGAATGGGAATAGGGTAAGCAGAAACAGCCAATGCACTCTACTTATTTGGGGATTTATTTTCCTGAAAAAGAAGACATCGAAATAGGAATGTAGCAAGATGAAAATGTCGAGTTCAATGGCAATTACGTACGTACTTTGTTAAAAAAAATAGCATAATTGTAGGAACTAAATTTGAAGTATTTGTAGACTGAACTAAATCTGCAGATACAGTTTTGGATTCTATAGTGATTTGAAACCATTTGCTATTTGAATTCCTTTAGACTTAACACGTTATCTTTAATTTGCTGCTGTAGCTACCACTTTCTATTGACTTTAACTCAGTTCATTTGGTTTATATAGAATACCACAGCCTGACCTTGTGCTCAGAGAATGTGTGCATTTACATGGAATTAATCTAGTAGAAGCAGGGAATAGTGAGAAGGAGGCGAGAACTGAATAAACACAAGCCTTGGAGAGAGAAAAGGAAATACAATCCTAGGAATGGGAAAGTATTTTTAATTTCTTGCGCTGTTATAACAGGGAAGTCAAAGAAGATGCGTGGAAATGCAGGTGAATTTGATGGTGGAAATTTAACTATTTCTCTGATGACTTCTATCTTTTCAGTGCAGAGAAAAGGAATATAGGATCTTTGAGGACAGAAGTTATGTTATAAAATATTCATTTTAATGTTGGAAAGGGAATCAATGTCAGAGTCACACTAGATCTGCCAGCCAAGGTTGAAACTTATCTGAAAGAATCTGAAATGAAATCAAATATCATTGTGTGTGATCTTCACTAGTAATATACAGCTTCTCGGATGCAGAATGGAAGACACTTGGGAGTTGTGCTAAACCAAAATTGAGGTCTTCCCAAGTGAGTATAATAGAAGGGAAAAAAGAAAGAGCAAAAATGTTTGACGGGTAGTAATTATGATAACAGCCCATGGAATCCAAGGGTAAGGAGAAAGTGAAGATAGAAGTTTTAATGGATGGTAAAAAAAAAGTGATGGGGTCTATGGAACAAAAGTCTCATGTGGCAAAAGGACAAATAATGACAGTATCCTACTGGTAAGCTATATAATACCTGCTGATAACAAGCTGATGGGTTCAACAATGATGGTGAGAGGCTGGGTAGGAATGTAGTAACTTCTATATGTGAGAAGACAAAGCAACCACCAGGCCACCACGATAGATGGATCATACATGGAGGTTCATGTAATTGCAAATGATGATGGGCATGTGTGGAAGGAATGAATGAACCAGGGGCAAAAGTCATCAACCATAAAAGGGCTAGACAAGGATGTCTAGCAGCTGATGACAGGGAGGATGTTGTGGGTAACTAAGACACGTGTTATGAGTTTCAGAATGAATAATGTTTTTGAAACAGTAAAGAGATCATTTGGGAGAGAAAATGTAGAGCACAAAAACCTCTCCATTCTTGAATTTTGTGAGGGAGGAAGAACAACCAACCAAACACCACTTTGAAAGGACTGCAGAGGAAAACCTTTGTCAGGAGACAGCCAGATTCTTTTAAGGTAAAGGAAGTAAAGAGACATTTTCTGAAAGAAGCTGAGACAAAAATTGCAGGCAAAGCTTAAAAGATACTGGGAGGAGAAGATTGGATGAAATCAGCATGATACCTGTGGGTTTATGGTGACATGAAAGCCTGGAGTTTTGGATTTCTGCTGAGTAGGGGGCCTCTGAGACAAGATGAGACTAACTTTAACAGTTCTTTTTAGGAAGGCAGGTAATCATTGCAGCAAATTTTCACTTATAGTCAGTAAGGTGGAATACTCACACCCTCTAGTAGTTAGTAATGTCACCTTTTGGGGCCAGGGGCAAGGGAAGGCAGCAGGGGGCTGCCCTCAGAGTATCTGCTGCTCTCTGCTCAACCTTGCTGTAGAACAAAGAAAGCAATCATTGGGAGAAGGCTGTGTTTTGTTTAAAATTAATTTGTTTAAACAAGCAGGATGGTGTTTAATTAATTTTGTTAAGAGCTTCAGTCAAAAGGTTTTGTAAAGTGTTTTGGGGTTTAAGGAGATAAAGCCACAAAGCCTCAGTTTCTAGATAAGGCCAGGAGTCATAATAACTGATCCCCCGAGGGTTTCTAATAACCAAGCTTGGGCACTATTAAGAAAACTATCACGAGACTAGAAGATATTTACCAAGATAACAGAGGCTGTAACTGGTCATGTATCCTTCCTCACTGTTCAGTGTTGATTAGATCCTCAAGGGATTGTAACAAATTTGAGTGCTCACACTTCAAAACAGATTTTGAAATATTGGAGAGTGTTGCAATAAGATCAAGAGAAATGATTTCAGAAATTAATTGTTATAAGGAAATGTAAAATTTGTATTTATTTGGAGGAAGAAAAGGTTCAAAGATGATCATTTCTGCTTTCAATGCTAAACTAAGACAAATAATTTGGCCTTCAAATTGTCATGAAAATTGAACTTCTATTGCACAGCATTCTAAAGCCTAAGGAAGACACCATTTAAACACCAACAGTTCAACCAAGGATAGTGTCAAAAATTATTTCTGGAAATAGTCTTGTAAGTTTAATCAGAGCCCCCCACAGAAAGCAAGGGGCTAGGTAGCTCTCACCTCTCTGTCACCTAATAAAGTACACAGAGTACTGGATCAAATATTGAGGGAAAAGGAAGAAAGTAAATTAATTTCATAGATATTCTTGGAATCTGTCATTTCTTCTAAAACATTCAGCAGAACCTAAAGCTAGTGATAGGCTTTGAATTAGAAATCTTTGGAACTGAGAGCTAACACTGCCTTTTTATATATACCCACATCCCTCAGACAGGCTCAATCATGTCTAGGGACCTGACCCAGAGAAGAGCCAATTTGATTGTCTGTTTATTTGTGTCACACATAGCTCTGTATCATTTAATAGCTGACTCTCGGTTTTCCCATCTATGAATAGTGGTAACCTCTCTGCTTAAGAATGTGCTGAGGGAATTAACAATCATATATAAAATCACCTGACACCGCACGTGGACCTTGATGCTAGAGAGGACCAGCCTAGAAACTCGGATTCAGGCATCTTTTCAGCACTGCTTCTAAAAGTGACCTTTATGTGATGCGGTGAGACATCATGGATGCCAGAAAGACATCCCTGTCTCGAAGATAACCTCTCTATTTTTGGAGAGATCTTAGTAGGCTTCATACATTATCCACCATCACTGCTTCTGTTCCAAATCAAATTGTTTCTGAGAAAAACAATGCATGTTAAAAACAAATCATTTGGAAACAGGGTTGGCTGATGGGGATGACAAATGAGAATGCCCTGAATAGATGGGCAAAGACATTTGCAGAAAGGGGAGTGAGAGAATCCTGAAGACAGACCTTCTTCTCTCCCATCACTTGGCCCAGGAGTAATCCCGCTTTCAAAATTCAACACAGCAATTGACTTTTGGTCATGAAGGAAAAGATTCCTGAAGCATAAGTGAGAATCAAATTCCTAGATTTATCTAAAGTATACCAGAATACAAGATTCAAGTTTCATCTTTCTCTAAGACTTATCCAATGTAAAATTAAGATATAGAAATTTAAAGTATATATTTTTTCTCTACAATATATATTTTTTTATCTGCAATAAAGTTTAGTTTTACAAACCATGAAAGTTAACAAGAGCATAAAAGAAAGCTTGTATTCTAGGGAAAAATGTGTAATTTGATTTATTTATCTATGATAGATAAAATAACTTTTTATAAAAAGAACCCCCTTTCTCTCCAAAATACTCTGATCATAATTGTGCATTACTTTTGGACATAATTTTTTTAAAGTTATGCAAAAGGTTCATTGTTCACTGCTTTGCTATCAAAACATTCCATGCAATTAAAATAATTTGGATAACTTTTTTTTTTTACTTTCCCAAAATTAAACAGGTAAGGTTTCTGTAACATTTACCAAATTTCACTTAACATTAGTGAAAAGTGAAGAAAACAATTCAAGACTTTGAGTTTTGGGAAAATTATTCCTTATTAGAACTGAAATATCCATATATAGTATCACTGTATACATGAACTTCATTTCTTAATAGGTGAATTTGTTATAGATGAGGTATATGAAATCCAACTTTTTCCATTTAAAAATCTTAAGGTGACACTTTGGCAATTATAACTCCATGAACATAATTTCAAGAACTTTATATACTATGTGATTTGGATTCCACTGCTTAGAGTGACTATAAAATAATTTGGGGTTTTTTAAAGACTGAGAAGTATTTCTCAATGTTAGGTTTTGCAAACAGAAAGTTGAGTGTTATAAATTCCACCTCCCACAGACCAGAATTCACATCCATTGGTCAGGGGCAAATACCACTAGCTCTGCATCCTCAGTCACTTTGTGCCATTTCACCAAGTCAGAGCCAAAGGTAAGTTTTTATACTTGCTTTCTTCTTGGGTCAAATACTTTTTTCCCTACTATAAAAACCTTTAAAAAATAATTCAACTTGCTTGATATCTTCTGGGGAACTTTGATTCAATGGATTTGGTTTATTTTTGTTATTGACTTTGTATTTATATTATTCTTGGAAAATCCAAAATTTTGAAATAGCTTAGGAATTAATAACATACAGCAAATAGTTTATCTCAATAGTCAGGACAGATGCCAATAAAAGTATAGTAGTTTCCAATATATGCCTTAAGTCAACTGCCCTGACACAGACCACATTCTTTGCAAGTATAGCCAGGTACTATTTATTGATATTAATTGAAATATTATGCAAAGTGAGGAAATAGTGAAATTTCAGGAGTTTAAAAATATTGTGATGATTACATGACATTATACATTTATATATTGAAAGTTTTAAATATACAAATTTTAAAATATTAAGCAATGTTATAAAGTGAACACAAAATTAAAGTTTCAATTAAAAACTATATTAAATGCTAATATAATTATTTGAAGAAAAGAATATAAATTTAACTAACATAGATAAACACTGTTTATATTTTTAAGATTCATACAGACTGCCTTATAGCTGATAGCTTTAGGAGCAATGCAAAATGCAAATAAATTCTGAGATGTAGCCATATGTAATCAAATATAGCATAAAGTGAAAAAAACGGTCAGCAAGTGTATAATTTCTTTGAACAATGGAAGCTGCCAGAAATATATAAAGAAAATATTTTTTTAAGTTGGTAGTGGCTTCTGTTAATGTTACCAACTTGATTATGGGAGAATGGTTCCTGGAAGATTTGCAAACCCACTGCTTTATTAAGTAGGACTTTGTTGGTAATTGCCTAGAACAGTTCCAAATCTGCAATCCTGCAAAGACTTCTGCAAAGGCAACTGAAATAGAGGCTTAGTTTATCCTGTGTGAATAAGAAATTTATTTGAAGAAAGCATAGAAGGGCTAAGAAGGAGCTCCTTGTACTGCTTCTTATTCTCAGAGGAATTTCATATCCTTCTGCCTAAACCTGCTTCATAAAGGCTTTCTTTCAAGTAACTGAAGGTCATTTTGTCTGCCAGTGCATTCAAGTTTAAAAGTAATATTTATCATGAATTCCCTTTTATATGTATGCATAAGTACCAACAACATAGGTACCGTTCTTAAAGTAAACCCAAGAAGTGTGCCCAAGATATAAAACCTTCCAAAATTAGACATGCTTGATAAAGAATTTTACTATACTTGCCTGCAAAATAAAGGATCACCAGGTAACATTTTGATAAGGCTAACTTAAACGTTGAAAATTAAACATGAAGGTTTTTTTTCTAAACCAAAATGTATTCAAATGAGTATATATAGAATAAAAAAATAATTAAAATTATAGGATTTTGATTGAATCCTCAAAAAGCATAATGTTATAATGAAAAATAAGAATTGTGCCTATTAAGGAATTAAAAAACAAAGATGGCTATAATCCCTTAGGCATACAAAGGAATCTTGCCAAATAGTGCCTTTTAAACATGTATTCCTATTGGTTCTGAGTTCAAATCTTAGATAGTTATTAAGAATTAAATAAAATAGTAAGAACTAAAGAAAAAATTTTTTCTGTTCTATTTCATTAGGAACATTTTAAACAATATTGCATGAAATATTAATGTGCATATTAAATAATGTATGTATTTATATATCCAGAGGCTACAAAGAAGTAACAGAAAAAAAAAAAAAAGAAACAAAACTTTGTTACTTTGTTCTTAGGCCTCAATGTACAAGAAACAGTTATGAGTCCTAGGTTTTGCAAAATTATGTTTAAAACCCCACCAAGCCACACCCTGGACCACTCAAATTGGAATTATTTGTGGATGTCTTAGTTGTATTACCAGTTAACTCTGTCTCAGTTTCTTCACCTATAAAATGGTATGACAGCTGCAGTCATCATCATCATCATCCTCATCTTCTTCAACTCCATATCCCAGAGCTGATGAAGGATCTTAGTATTTAATTAAATGGTAAAACTCTTAGATGTCAAAAAAGTTTTGTGAATAAGCTCTATTTTTCCCTATAAGATAAAATAAAATAAAACTAAATAAAATATTATTGTAATTAAAATATCCACTGTAAAATCAGAGACAGGTTTGTGAATGAATTTGAATATCTGACAGCAATGGTCCTAGGAAGTAAGATGATTTTGTGTGTTATGTTTATAAATTATCCATGGAAGGAAAGCTACCAGCTTGCGTTCTTTGAAATTGACACTAATTTATCATTTCTATTTAGTGCAGACTATTAATAAGTTTTCAATTAAATATTTGGGCATTTTAACATTTTATAACTAGGAAAGTTGGGAAAATGAAGATATTAGCAAGACTTGTTCTGGGACTCGTCATCTTTGATGCTGCTGTGACTGCCCCAACTCTGGAGTCCATCAACTATGACTCAGAAACCTATGATGCCACCTTAGAAGACCTGGATAATTTATACAACTATGAAAACATACCTGTTGATCGAGTTGAGGTAATCAATCTTCCTACTGTTGAGACTTTTAAAGGTATGGGATGAGGAATGGGTGGGGTTTGTTCTCTTCAAATAGATGTTTGAATTGTTTTTTTTTATAAGTAGAAAGATTTTATGTTAATAATTTCATATTAACCTTTTCTCCAAAACATGTTCAATCTTTTGGAGGTTAATACTGGAACAGTCTTTTACTTTTTTAAAGTTCATGTTATTTCCTTGAAATTTTGTTGCTAAATTGAACATAAAAATGTATTTCTATGAAGTTAGAACAGAGAAAATTAGTAAAAGTTGATCAGCAAGGAAAAGAGTTAAAATGCTATGCATGCAATGATGAGGAAAATTTGGGGTGAAGGAGAAAGATGAGAGATTGAATCAAATTAGAAGAAAATAAAAATACGGAGAAAGGACAATAGTTTGGACAATCTGAAGAGTGAATGTGCTTCCTTAAATAACTGTCTCTCTGGCAGTAATGTGGAAATTGGCAAGGTTGTAACCCATTACATAAATCTGACATACATGTTCCTAATTAAATGCAAGGCTTTTAATATAACTAAAGGATACAGGCTGATTTTTATGAATCAGAAAGCAAACAGACCTTGAAATGGTGGAGTGTAAGTAATGTGCAACACCGACAAAGACTAATTAACTATAAATAAACAAAAAGAGAAAGCACATCACCTTGAAAGGATTATAACATATTTTGAGCAGTCTTTAAAGTCTAAATCTTCTTAGAATAATTACTTTTGATAACCAAGGATAGGAAATATTTAGATGAAATCATATATTTAACTTGTATTAAACTTAGATACATCTTTACTAAGAAGATAGTAAAAATTTTCAATATTGTTTATGTTGCCTTATGAAATACAAGAGTCAGATTTTCACAATGTAATAGTTTTTAGAAGTCTACTGCTCTCTCCCTCTTCTCTTTCTTTCTCTCTTACTTTCACCCTTACCCTCTTTTCACCTTCATTTCATCTTTCCTCCCATTTTTACTCTCTTTAGTAAAGGTTTATGCTCAATAGCAGATCATTTTTCTTCTGCACTTTTGATTGTGGCTCTATTTTCTAAGTCTCTATTAAAATTCACTGTTTGATTTGTTTTAGTATATGGATTCTGTTTGTTAACAGGATTTTCTATTGAGAATTTATGGTCCTTAACACCAATCTTGCCCTATGTGACTTCTGCATCTGCAATGTGATGCATCAACGTAGAATATAAGATGAAATTTTTCAGTGGTTAACTCATCTGCCTTGCTCCTTTTTCCATCTTGCATAAATACATATATATATATATATGAGACCAAGAGTCTCACTCTGTCTCCCAGGCTGGAGTGCAGTGGCACAATCTCGGCTCACTGCATTCTCTGCCTCCTGGGTTCAAGGATTCTTCTGCCTCAGCTTCCTGCATAAATACATATTTAAAAAAAAAAAAAGTGTCAGTGCATTTCTGAATTGATCTACCAAATTAAATATTTTAGTTCAAACTTATTTGTCATTTACCCCCAAACTATTCCAGAGGATCAGAGAGATTTGATGATTACCATAAGTGAATCTTCTATGTTGAGTAGGTTTTGGGAATGAATTCAAGGATGTTGTTTATTCCTTTCACATGATCAAATGCACAATAGGAAAAAAA